TAGCGTATCTATTTTTTTTTGACAACACAAAATCAGATCCAATCCATTTTCGTAATATTTAATTCAAAATAAGGACAAACAAATTTTCACCAAACTTACATTATTATTCAGAAAAGCAACTTTACCCAAGAGGAGGATGAAATAAACACGCACATTTTATTGAAGGGTGAGTATAGGAGAATAAACCAAGTCTCATTTGGGGAGCTAAGGTAGTAGCATGAAAAGAAGGATTTAGCTGACATTTGAGCCATGGATGTCTAAAATGTAACTTAACGTACGATCACTCCTATCTTTCGTGTTGTATCTTCCCCATTCTAGCCATTGCTTGCCTCTTTGGTGAAACTCCTTGCAGCATTTCAACCCATATGTAAAGCTCTATTGACCTATAGAGGGTTGTGGTTAAACTCAGGAGCTCTCCAAATTCTGGTAGCACTGTGTGACCTTGGGTAACTTATAATTTCTCTGATGTTTCCTCATCTATAAACTGGGGGCAATAATAGTACTTCTTTCTCACAGTTGTGAGGATCAAATGAGTTAATATTTAAAAATTCTTAGAACAATATGTTCCATATATTAAGACTTAATTATTGTTTGCCATAGGCAAATAACCTAGAACAAGTACCCTAATATTTCTTTCATTCATCCAGTGCTCACTGTTTGTAAAGTACTATGCTCTGCAAATACTTGTATGAGGCATGTAGAATTTTATATAAAGTTTCCATAATTTAAGGTGGTTTTCAGTTTAGAATAGGAGAAAAAATGGCTGCAAACTTCTATAGAAAAATGACTATTGACTGTGGTTGCACCTGCCAGTCAAAAGCCATTTAAGGCAAGACAAGTTTAAGATCATGGAATTCAGTAGACAAGTCACACACATTCACTGAGCACCTTCTCACTATCAGGCACTGGGCTGGTGGATGGAGGGTGATGTAAATCAACCATAGTCCTCATCTCAATGTACTCACACTTAGTAAAGCATGCATATCTATAAGCAAGCAATTGTAGACTAGATTTGGGATGTGTACAAGGGAGGATGGAGTACATTTTTCTTGGACGGGAATGGAGGAGTCAGACAAGGATTAGGAGATAAAAAGAGTTGACCAGGTTTCAAGGCAGTGATGGGCATACTAGATGGGGGAACCTTGCATGCAATGGCAGGGAGGTGTGGAAGTCAGAGTGTGGTGCATTTAGCACCTGTCCTAGTCCTGCATGGGAGAAAGCAGAGGAGGGGGTACAGAAGACATACCTGTTTGTAGACAGCTGTCCAAATGCTTATTTGCAATTTATATTTCAAATTGCAGCAGATATGGGAAAGACTTTTTTTATGAAAGACTGGTAGAATCATTATGTCTGTATGGCCAGAAATAAACACAGACACATTCACCATTACCGACTACTGGCTAGGCAGTATCCTTTGAATCTGTCTTCTCTGATCTTATTCAAATTGAGGTCTCATTGTTTCCTCAAAAGACTTGCTAAAAAGTAGGAATTGTTATAAATAAAATCTTCAAAATTATTCTTTTTCTCTGAAGGAAGAGCTCTATTTGATTTTCTTTTAAGTCATTTTATTTTTGGCAAGATTTATAAAAAACTCTCCTAAAAAAAAAATGTAAGTTTTCCTTCCTAGAGGCACAATGCTCAGACATAAGGAAGTTTCAGTCAAGAAGACAAAATAAACATGCAATTCATAAGAGCCTTAAGCCAACTAGAATATATTAAATACTGTAATAAGTCTGAGTTTTCATGTGCCTGTGAGAGAGAGGAGGTGGACGATGGGTGAGGGAGGAGAAGAGGGAGGGAAAAAGAGAAGAGAGGGATAGAAAGAAAAAGGGAAAAAGGGAGAAAAGAAAGAGGAAAAGGAGGAAAGAAACAGAGAGGGAAAGAAGGGAGGAAGGGAGGGAGAGAGTGAAGAAGGAAGAAAGAAGGAAAGAAGGATGAAGGAAAGAAGGAAGGAAGGAGGGAAGGAAGGAAGGGAGGGAGGGAGGGAAGGAAGGAACGTTTACTTCAAGATTCTGGTCCATGGAGAGATTATTGGGAACAATTAGCCCTATTCTCTCCCAGAACATAGCAGGACAGTGTTAGTCCACCAATAATCCCTCAGTGGGCTGAGGGCTGGCAAATAATCCTTGCTTTAGGTTTTGCTCTGTGCTCTGACTCAAATCAAACCCCTGTTAGCACGCATGTCTCTAGCTATCATGGAGTCCACCCTCAGTGCTGTCCCACATGTAGCAAATATAATTCATATATTATTCCAAAATGGAAGGGCTGAGCTGGGGTGGGAAATTGAATAAACTACAAGCACTTCCTCCTTCCAGACAACTCCAAGTTGAACATGACCATTCCCATTTTATCTCAGTCTTATCAGTAAGCTCACTAATTGTGTAGAAAGAAGTCTTTGGTGATGCCTGACATAATGATGTAGGAAACCTAAAAAAACAAGTAAACAAAAAAAGCAACCTTAAATCCTACGCTAGTAAAGCTACAGCCTACACTCACTTATCTCTTTAGAAGGCAGTTCACTTTCTTAAGAGGAAAAAGAATTTATTCTAGGACACAGAAGACACCTTAAACCTGGGCAGACAATTCTCCTTGGTCATAAGAGGGATGGAGATTAAAGCCACTGAACCCCAACACGTCCCACAGTTGAAAGATCGTGCCTTACTGATAGGGCTAATGAAAAGGTGTCTGTTTTACGAAGAACAACACTTTAAAAAATAAGTAGAACTTAGGAAGCTGCATAGCTAGGGGAGAGAGAAGAGACTTTGAGATCAGTCAGGCCCGGGTTTATTTCTCAGCCCTGTCGTCAAAACAGTCACCTGATCACATCAATCGATTTTACAGACAAAACTTATTATTTCCAGGGCCTATTAGAGTGCCTGGAACACAGCAAGTCCAAAATGCTAGCCATTTTTCTTATAAATCATAAAGAATTATAAACCAACATAAACTGAAATTTAATACAAAGTTCATTTTCAGCAGTGGAAAGGTAAGGATAAGGTGATTTGTAGGAATTGTCGAAGAGTAGAGAGGATGGGAATAATGTAAAAGGTAAATTTCAAGAAATTCCAAGGCAAAGACAAGGTTAGAGGCAAATAGGCAGAACACAAGGACCATCTACTCACTACTCTGCTGCCCTCCCTAAGAATCTGCAGGGAAAAGTGTCTTTCCTCCCAGTTTTATGCAAATGAAAGGACAATGGATGACCTCTGGCGACCTTTCAGTTAGGTCAGTAAGGAGCTGGGGCCAGCTCCTCTGGTATGCAAATGCTGAGGTTCCTAGCCTGAGGTTGGTCACTAATTAGTTAAATGGCTTTAAGTAGGTGTTGATGACTTAATTTCTCCAGGCCTCACTTTTCTTATCTGTAAAATCAGAGGAATGAGTCATGCTATCTAAATTCTTATTGGGAACAAAGAAATAATGACTGTTATCAAAGAGCAAGACAGTGAATGATAAAGCAGTATGACAGAGGTGGGTAGGAGCCTTTACATCGCAGATTCGAGAATCACGCAGCTATCAGTCAAGTCCAGAGATGTCAACCATTGTAATATAACAAAGTGCTATATTTTCCATTCATCTACATGCGCTCAGACAAAACTTGCTTATTTTAAGATGCCCATTCTGTCTTATACACTATATGTGCACATACAAGTACATATCATATTATGTGACCCAGAGTCCTATCTAAAAGTATAGAAATTTTTTGGCAGAAAAAAATAATGAAAATATTCCCATTTGTTTTGTTTAAAAGATTGAGACTTTTTCTTTTATTTATTTGTTTTAATTCAAGAGAAAACCAGAAAATGTAGCCAGACAGTAGCTGTGTCTTTTGGCAGTAGAAATAATCTAATAAAAGCATCACATTTCAAAGGGGGGGGGGAGACCCATCTCAGACATTGGTAACGTCATTTCAGCCCAAAATATATTTCACTCTGGGTTTGTATTTTTTGGACTCACGCAGCTTATGGTGATTTTATCCCAAGTTCATGCCACCAGAGTTGGAATTTATAACACAAACATTGAGACCAGGCAATGATTGGCAGTTTTGACTGTTAATACCCCGTAGTAGGTCTTCTACCATGGTCAGAAGTTAAGATTTATTTTGACAAGCTTTCTCTTGCTTTTGTAGACTAGAGGCTTTATAATGGGGGTTATCCTATGACTAAATATCAGGCATAGATCATCAGAATTCATAACAAAATGGTAGACAGCCCTCTCCCATGAAGCCTAGAACTTGGTCTTAATTAAGTTATTACCTTCTTTAGTGGGTAGGATCTGGACCTTATTTTTGAGTTGGAACCAGACAGTAAGTGATCATGAATGTCACTATCTCAACTTAGGAAGATTCCTGATTAAAAACAACAACAAAAATTTTTGGACTTTTTCCTGGTGTCATTGTCAATTCCTCACTTCCAAGAAAAACGTCTGGAATCGTTTTCACAAAGTGAGTTTGCATAGCTTTTGGATAAAGGCTGCTGAGATTTACCAAGAATGGCTAAGCGAGGGTGATGTGTCCCAAAGTGATGATTTGAAGAGGCTTAATTAGTGAGTAACTGGAATTGTATAACAGCTTGTTATGTATAGCAGGATAAAGAAAAAAGGCTATATCACGATCCTTATAAGATTATGCACTTTTTTTTTAACATAGGGGGTTCTGGTTTTTAGTAATGCCTTCATTAAAAATGTAGTAAAGCCCAGAATATATACATACTATTTATTTATATATTTAATATGTGACATATTTAATATTTAACAATATAATATATATTGAATTTATATTCCATTTAGTCCTGACTTTATCATAAATCAACATTTATTTCTTAGAGACACCTAAGATTCTGCTGGTGACCCTTGGTAGCATCCAGGTTCTGGTGACGGATGAGTTTAGTCTGGTAGGAAGTTCCTACAAGAGAGAGCTCTTAGGCTGACTAAATGGTGATGAAATGGAATGTTGTTGTAGTTAATTCTGAAATCATAGAATGTTTATTACAAAACAGACTGGCATGCTATGCTTCATGAGGCCAAGGATGTACTCTTTAATAAGGAATTATTAAAGAGCTCTAAATGTGTTTAGACAAGGTAATCTTTATGGTTTCAAACAATCCTGAGATATAGGAATCTAAACTCTCAGTCAAGGAGATCCAATAACATATGGCTTTTATCCACATATCAGTAATTAGAATTTATTTCTTATTCATACAGGATAAATCAAACAAGAAAAATAGTCATTCAACAATTCTTTTAAGAATATGTATTGGCCATATATTTATGTGCAGGCTGTTTGCCAACTGCTGGGAATATATCCACAAACATAGCAGGCAATGCTTCTTCCTACATGGAACTCATATTTTATATGGAGATACCAAATATCAAATCAGCAACAAGTAAGACAACTACAGACTGCAAAAAAACTGTAAGTGACATAAATAAAAATGATACAATAGAGAACAAATGAGTAAAGCCAGCTAAAGGCAGAATAAGAGGTGGCTTTTCTAAAGAGGGTAAAAACAGCCTTACTATAAGAAGATCTTGGAGCTTAGCATTCTGAAGCAACAAGGGAAGCTTTGCTGAGAATGGAAAGATTTGATATGTTTGAGCATGAAAGCCATGACGACAGAGACAGAGCTCACTGGTGGAAGGGCAGGGAAATGAAGTAGTCTAGATTAGAAAGGCAAGCTGGAATCAAGCCATTCAAATTTTTAAGGCCAATGTAAGATTTCCATAAAAAAATAATTTTAGTGCAATCAGGCCTTGAAAGATCTTCAAACAGGAGAACGAAATGGTCTGATCATCAGTTTTAAAGGGCACTGTGAATGCAGTGTTTAGAATGGACCAGAGAAGGCAAGAATGGAAAGCTAGGAGATTCATAAAATACCCTCATCTCTATCTGTATTTAAATTATGATGGCTTAGATTACAATGCAGCTAGTATAAATAGAGAGAAATGGGCAGATGTAGTACATACCAAAGAGATAGAATCAACAAGATTTTGATTACATCTTGACAATTAAATTAATGCTAGTTGCTTAGTGTCAGAACAGAACTGTAATACTTGCTCATATAAAGTCTAATCAGCAGTGGGGAGAGGTAGGGCTATATTTGGGAAGTGGCTTTCTTCCCAGTAATTCATGGACCTAGATTGAGAGAAGTTCTATTAATTTCAAAAGATAGCCTACAAAGTTATTCTAGGTATCCATGTAAGATAAAGAGAACATAAAGAATACATAGCCACTTCTTGAAAACTTCAGCCAAAAAGTGGCATACACCACCTTTGTTCCCATTTCTTCATTGGAACTAGTCACTTGACCCTACCGAGATGCAAGGGGAGCTAAAAAAAAAAAAAAAAAAAAAAAAAAAAAAAAAAAAAAAAAAAGCTCTTGGCAGTACCATTGGTCTCTGTAATAATTCTGCAGTATGGCTTGAGGTCATGAGTCATCTCTGCCACAATGACTGAAGAAATACCCATTGCCGTTTTCTGAGTCTGACTTTAAAAATCAGATTGCTAGCCTTTGGTTTAAATCCAGTCTTGCCCGCAAGTTAAAGCTGTATAATTTTCAGGTTGGAGAAAGCCTGTGTGTTAAAGAAGAAAACTCGGAACACTTATTTCAAAGAGTGCTCTAGGAAGAACTTTAAAATAATAATGTTCAGGGCTGAGAATGTCAAGCTGTGCTATTGTAATGCTAGAATCTTTGAACAAACTAACTTACCCATTTGTTATTGCAATTTCTTACATTGGAATCCATTGCATAAGTCCTAAGCCCTCATGCTCATTCAGTGAGACATTTCCCACCATTTTAGTTCGCAAACTAAGCTTCACATCTTGCCACCAGGATACAGGCATTATTTGCCCAAGATATCTTAATGCTTGATTTAATTTTTCTATTATCCCTTCTGTCCATTGCCCACTTAGATTACTTGAAAATAAACAGTGTAATTTCATCTTATTATAATCAGCTAGCTACTAACAAGTTCTCCTTGGTTATTACATGCACTATTTTATTTGTACATTGTTTAACATGTGAGTAGCCAACAGGCAATACAAAAATTGCATTTCTCAAAAGGATAACTGAAAGTTTGCTCCTCACATTACTAACCTCAAGATATATGGTATTTTTTTAAACTAATTTTTCTGTTGTCTCAGGCTTGAGGTTTCACATATATTAAGATTACCGTAATAAGGTTTCCATTGCATAAAAACTGAAATTACCTAGTGTTCTCTTTTTTTAATTGCCTTTGTCAACCACACTTAAGATTTTCCTATCCATCCCAAAGCATCCAAGTTCAGACAAATTATAATTCATTTCCTTAGAAGGAGTTTCAAACTTAAGTATTATTTTCCTTTAAAGCTATGATGTCCTCGGGTGGTCTATCAGACAAATGAGAAGTTTAGAGTTTCTACTTTCCTCACTGGAAGGAAAGACACATATTTATCAACTTTTTCCAACTAAAGGGGATTGAAGCTATGTAATATTTTTTAAATACACTTTTTATAACACATAGAAAAAAAGTACTTACACTGCAATGTGGTCATGGATGTGGAGTACTTAGCAGAGTTATTGGCACTTTGGCAGTGCTCAATAAACTAAATCTGTAAAATAATAATAAAGAGTATGTATGTTATTGAAAATAGCATTTATAATAATAAAATAATAAAAGTAAATATTTATAATATATTCCTTATTGCTTTTATTAAGAATAATGATGAAAGAGCTGCCTCTAGATTCTAATACACTTTTTTGTAAAAAGGCACATTCTCTAGGTAGATGCAGCTCTTACCAAGTGGCGCACTGGCTATTGTTGGTTGGTCCATTTGTTCTGGGACAGCCAGATCCCATGGAGTGGAATACTCGCTGATACTTTGGGTCCTCTTTTACATTTATCTTTATTATGGTTCTTGAGGAATGCTTATTATTGTAAGTGTACATATAATATATTTTTTTAGTACTGATATTATTTACTTAATAAACAAGTAAATTGCCATTTGCAGATAGACTACTGATTCATTTGTTGACATTACAAGACACCTATCGATACAAACACAAGTTTGTAAGACAAGAACAGATAAGAAGAGAGATTGAGAATAATAGTTGCTTATAATTCATAAAAAACATAATTACTACTATCAGGTATGTTTGGAAGCGAGAGCAGAAGTGCCCATTTCACGTCTGACTCTTTAAGTAGGTCAAATCACTCAGACATCACGCCCCATTCAGGCTTTAATTTTAATAGCAGTTCCATTGAGCAAGTTATACCAAAGTCCATGATGTCTCACCACTCTCTCCTATTTTCTAGTTTCTGCTCTTTGCATTTCTGTACTCCCAAAGTGAAAAAACAATGTGGTGTGTTAATTAAACATCACTTATCAATATAGTCATTTTACTATTCTGATGGATGCAGGTACGTCTACTTTATTATTTCTTAACTTGTACATGTGGAAATGTACATGTTTTGTAACACAATTGTATGCAATTAATGTAGAAAATATCAGCATATCTTATCTATATTAATAAAGATATCTGAATGATTCATATTAATAGATCAATTTACAAGTGATAAAACCATCTTGGCTTTAATAACAATATGGGCAGTGACAAAAACATTAGGGTTAGTGGAAACAGTTTGCATCCTGGCTGCATGTTGACTTTATTTTTCTGAAACTTAATTTCCTTATTCATTAAAAATAAGCATGGTGATATCTATATTATGAACTTCTTGGAAAAAAAGATTAATATCATTTTGGGGAGAATAACTCAGGATAATCAGCACTTGACCTACATGAGAGATCAGTTAATGTTGTTTTCCTTTTATTTTTGTGGCTATGTTTTATAGGTTAGCACTTAAAAACAGATAACTTGATTATCTTAAGCACTTTGGAAGGAAATAACATCATTTTTATATTACAGAAAACAATGAAAGTCAGTGATCTAACTTACCCTCAGAGTTTCTAATATTCATGATGCTCATTCTATTGTCCCTTGTCTTTTGGAAATTTAGGTTAAGCTCACATAATACTGATAGTAATTAAAGTGGCTCAGTCTTCTAGTCACTAAGTTAACAGAGTAATCAACTAGGTAAATAAGTTGAAGTAGATATAATTTATAGGCAGTAGTCTCAGTGTTTTGATTTTCTATAATTATTTATTCAACATCAATTTATTCAGCAACTATCATGCATAAAATGCTAGGATAAGTACTTGGGAGCAATAGTGAAAGTCACAGACCTCATGCAAGCTTTCAGAATCCTAAATAACTATGAGTTTTCCAGACAATGTCAAGAAAAAACTAAAATCTTGAGTCAAGCATGACAAGCCTTAGAGGCAACTGATCCTCTTAAGTTTTTATGTAGCCAAAATTGTCTTTCTTTTGTTGCCTGTGCTTTTGCTTCTGTATCCAAGAAATCATTGCCAAATCCAACATTATGAAGCTTTTTTCTTATGTTTTCCTCTAAAAGTTTTCCAGGTTTCAGTCTTACATATAGGTATTCAATTCATTTTGAGTTAATTTTTTGTGTGTGGTGTAAGGTCAAAACTTTTGAATGGTGAATTTGAATTGGTATCTAAGATCATTTTGTTCACAGATGAATTGGATTTAAGTATTATTTAATTTAATACCTAAACTAATAACTAAATTCCTTCTAACATAATCTTAGGATTTCAATTCTGGCTATGTATGGTCTTTCAATTCTGGCTATGTTCTAGTTTTTCTTCAAAACTGAAGTGTCATCTATTCTGAAAGTATTTTGAGATACCCCTCTCTCCAACATATACCTACTTCAAGAGTAAATGCCCAAAGGGCTCTGATATCTTCTAACACTGTACTATTTTGTAAGAATTTATCTTTCAGACTAGTTTTAGGTTCACAGCGAAGTTGAGAGGAAGGTATGGAGATTGCCCATATACCTACTGTCCCCCCACACATGGCCTCCCCAGTTATTAATATCCTTCACCAGAGTGGTAAATGTTTTACAATTGATGAACTCACACAGACACATCATAATCGCTCACCATCCATTGTTTGCGTTAGGGTTCACTCTGGGTATTATGCATTCTATGAATTTGGAAAAATGTAAAAAGGCATGTATCCACCAATATAGTATCATACAGAGTATTTTTCACTGCCCCCCAAATCCTAAGTTTTCATTCATTTATCACTGTCTTTCAACCCCTGGCAATCACTGATCTTTTTTTTATCTCTATAATTTTGCCTTTTCAAGAATGTCATATAGTCTGAGTTCTGTAGTATGTAGCCTTTTCAGACTAGCTTCTTTCTTGTGACTAGATTGATTTAAGCTTCCTCCATGTCTGTACAGCTCGACAATTCATGTCCTTTTAGTGCTGAATAATATTCCGTTGTCCATAGTTTATTTATCCATTCACTTACTAAAGGACATCAGTAACTTGGTTGCTTCTAAGTTTTGGCAATTATACATATAAGGCATCTATAAACATACATATCCAGATTTTTGTGTAATCATAAGTTTTCAATTCCTTTGGGCAATTACCAGGGAGCACATTTGCTGGGTCATAAGGTAAGAGTATGTGTAGTTTTGTAAGAAACTGCCAAACAGTCCTCTAATGTGGCTGCACAATTTGCATTCCTACCAGCAATGAAAGAGAGTTCCTGTTGCTCCACATCCTTGTTGGCAGTTCCATCATTCCAATAGTTGTGCAGTGGTATCTCATTATTGTTTAATTTGCATTTCTCTGACAACACACCATGTAAAGCATCATTTCTTATACTTTTCTGCCATCTGTATATCTTTCTTGGTGAGGTGCCTGTTAATGTCATTGTCCCATTTTTAATTGGGTTGTTTCCTTATTGCTGACTTTTGAGTTCTTCGTATATTTTGGATAGTAGTCCTTTAGCAGATGCGTCTTTTACAAATAATTTCTCATTTTGTAGCTTGTCTTCTCATTCTCTTGCCATTGTGTTTTGCAGAGCAGTGTTTTTAATTTTAATTCCAGCTTATCAATTATTTCTTTCACGAATTGTGCCTTTCAGGCCATCACCACGTTCAAGGTCATCTAAGTTTTCTCCTATGTTACCTTCTATGAGTTTTATAGTGTTACATTTTACATTTAGGTCTGTGATCTATTTTGAATTAATTTTTTGAAGGATGTAAGATCTCTGTTTAGATATTTTTGCATGTGAATGATATTCACTATACCTTTAATTCTCTTTGTCTCCCAAGAAAATGTTAATCCTCAAGGTAGAGGTAATATCTTATTTCTTTTTGTATTCCCAAATTCTGCCCCAGAGTTTATAATACCAAATGTGTCCAGAATGGTGACCCTATAGTCTCTGTGCTTATAAGGTAGGCAATTCCATTTTTGACTCAGTTAAATTATAACAACATATTTTTATTTTCTGTGGTTAACATAGTATTCATTTTTCTGTCTTAGATACCTACACAAATCAAGGAAAGTTCATCATCTATATGAGAGCCCTCCAATTATTTTAACTCAATTATTATGGTCTTTTCCAGTATCAAATATTTTGTTCCAAAATAAACTTTGTCAGATCCTTTCCAGACTCTTAATCAATCTTGTAATTCTCTTATGGATTTGCATGTTGAGAGTTGGTGAGAGTGATGAGTACTTTTCCTTGGAATTTTTAATAGCAGAAAGACAAGAGACCAAATATAAAATCTATTAGATTCACACAAACTATCTGAAGTCATAATTTTAGAAAATTACTTATGAACCAGGAGAATGAGAAACTGTTATATTAAAAATGTATATGCAATTATTCTAATTTTGAAAATGAATCTAATTAAGCTTCTGTAAATTGTACACTTTTTCTCTGTAAATATGTGTAGTACAACTGTCATAACCTTGTCCATGTCTCTCAGGGCACCATCCCCTCGTATAGGTGTGCAACCCTCTTTAGAACAATACTTTATTCTTCCCAAGAAGCTAGCTCTTTTTGAGGATATAAACTGATAAAACGTTTGAAATCACAGATGTGGAGTCTCGCTATCCTTTTGTTGATTGCCTAAAACTGAAATGTGTAATGATAGATTCTCCACTTCTCATTTTTATTTCATCTCTTCTCATGGTCTTTCTATGTAGTCTTAAAATACATATGTATGTTCTCTGTCCATGCTCATTGTGAATAAATGTATAAGTTAAAGAATTCCAACTGGATTAAATCCAGCACTCACACATCTACAGGTTTTGTTTTGTTTTGTTTTGTTTTTTAATTCTGCTGCTTTGGGAGAAAAATACCAACAAGCTCTAAGTCTGCAATGACAAATGTAGGTTTCATCTTGAATTCATGTATGGGTGACATTTGCATGTTGATTTCTTTGCCGTCCTAATGGTTAAATTTCAAAGCACATCTTTCCTTTTATCTTCAGCTGAATGAGACATCAAAATAAGGGCCAGATAAAGGCGGAAGTCCTTTGTCTGAAACTGCCCAGGCCTGGCCAGCTGTGATGAAAACTGTCTGATGTTTCACAGGCTTTTTGTCTGGCCCCAAGCTGGTATTTGCCTCTTTTAGTTTTGGAGGTTTTAAAGGAACATCGCGTTCTAGCACACAATGTCACAAGTGAGTATGGAAGGCCTGTTCATGGTGTTGTCTCAATATACTTAAGTTAGATTAAATTATTTATTAAATACTAAGCCACTGATTACATGGGGGATATGTGCCATCTTTTATCCTAATCATACTAATTTCTAATGTCAACCTAATATTTGGTTATGCCACAGTATCACAACCTTCTAAGATTGTCCCCTTACTGATAAATCTAACCTTTTATGTATATTTAATTTTCTAACGTAGATAATGAGATCAAGTGTTTTGGTTTAGTTTTGTTTATTTTTAACTATAAAACCTATTAGGAGAAGCATCTACAATAAATATAATGTTTGATGATGGAGATGGGGTAAATAGACTAATTAGAGTACATTAAATCATACTTGTTCAGTTTTCAATAAGAAATAATAATGATTTGCTCTAAGCAGCAAATAAATTTAGGCAGCCCAATTTAAAAAAATAAATCAGACAAGCTAGTGATTTGGCACTAAGGCTATAAAGCATTTATTTTGTTGTTTTTTTTATTATTTCTTGTAAATATCTCCTTAATTTGGGGTTGGAGCATAGGTATGCACAGGAATAAAAATATCCTACATTTATCTATCTGAGCCTGTAGTATTATTTATGTCACTTTTTTGGAGAAATAGTAACAAGTATTTCAAAATATTTTGTTTTCTAAAAGGCTTGCCCTTTCTTAAGGGCAAGCACATGTATCATAAAGTATCTTGACAATTATACATATTGAATCATTAGCTATGTTTTTGGATCTAGCCATTGGAAGCTCTATTGGTGACATGAGGTCGACTGTCCTCCTCGGGTCACCCTCCTGTGTTTTTCTTGTGCCTGGAAGGCCAATCTGTTTAGCAGGATCTCAAGGCCTGGCACTTTCCCTCCAGTTCAGCTTTCTGTTCCTTCAAGCCTACCTAGTCTTGTCATACACCTGTCGAACTGGACCCTCCTTCACTCTTTCTAGAACCTACCGGGTGCTTCTCCACCTCTGTGCCTTTGCTCTAGATGTCCTGCAGCTGCAGTGCTCACCATCCTCATTTCATCTGTCACAATCCTGACTGTTCTTTGAACCAACTCAATTGCCTGGTCCTTGATAACGTCTTGCACAACCCCTCTTTCTTCTTCATTGTATTATCATAGATTTGTTCATGGTTCTTTTGTAGCAATAATTTTATGTTGCTTTCTAGTTGAATATTCCTGAGCACATAATGACTAGAAAGACTGTATACAGATCAATACATATGTGCACATATAGTAGTAACATTCACTGGGTGTTGGGCAGGTAAGAGCAGGGAGGAGGGGATGGGTATATTCATACCTAATGGGTGTGGTGCACATTGTCTGGGGGAAGGACACACTTGAAGCTCTGACTGGGGTCGGGCAAAGGCGAAATATGTAACCAAAACATGTGTACCCTCGTAACATGCTGAAATAAAAAAAAGACTGTATATGTTCATATCTGAATCCTCAAGATACTTAGTCTAGTGCCTTGTAGATGTCAAAGAATATTAAATAGTAAGAGACCTCAGAACATGTGATATATAAAAATTGTATAAGGAAGTAGAGCTGTTCGCGTAGAGAGCATAGAACTCAATTGGACACATCATTATTTTAAAACTTTACAACAAATGAAATATATAGGGGTGTGATCTTCATGAAAGCAGGGAATTTTGTCTGTTTTTTCCCACTGTTCTGTCTATATAGCACATAGAACAGTGTCTGGTACACAACAGACACTCATAAATATTTCTTGAATGAAGGAATAAATGGAATATAAAAGATTTTGTTTTTTTTTTCTATAAAATTCCAAGGAAATTCTTGCAAAAGGTGCATTTTACTAGGGAGCTATATTTTAAATCAACTTAGGAAAGATCTCTAACAGTTCATATAGCTCAAATGTGGTCAGCACAGATAACATTTCAAGCTATGGTTGGACAGCCATTTGATAAAACTTGGGATGAAGGAAGTAAATGTTAACACTAATTATTTCATGTTCCTTCCATCTTAAGAGTTTATGATCGACTCATTGAAATGAATTTAATTGATCAAATAGCATATATTATGGTGTGAACTTCAGCCCATGAACTGAGGGTGGTAATCTTTCTTTTCAGTAGTATCCTGCGCAGGTGAAGAAAACAACCAGGATGAGAGCTGTCTTCAGGATCTGGGTTCTCACTTCAAGGGCCAGCCTTGGCAGCCTCGCCTTCTCTGAGTAGGAATGATGGAAGAGGGCAGGCAGTACATGCAGGGGGCAGTGAACACAACCAAAGAAGGAAGAAGAAGGAATGTAAACTGTCAAGGGGGCATTTTTCTTTTCCTTCACCTTCCTTTTTTTTTAGTAAAGAAAAGAAGAAATCTATCAGGCAGCTTGAGTATCAATATCTCAATCTCTTTGGATCTGCTGTTATGTTCACTCATATTCAGGAAAGTCACACATATCGTTTTTCAAAAGACATAGGAGAGAAAATATTGTAAACTGACAACCCTTTCAGGAAATCCACGTCAGACTTGAAATTTAAGATAAATTGAAGTGGAGACTTAATTCTCCAGTGGATTTCGATTTGAATACTAAGGTTCTTCAAAACTATTTTTCTCTATAGTCAATTTGAGCATATGAAAAATAAGAAGAATGGGTCGAAGATCTCTTTATTTAACACTTTGGACCACTGCAGAAAATATTCAGGCAAAAAATAGTGGGAGATAAAGTGAATTTCATCTCCATCTCCTCCATCAGGTGGGTCCTTCTGTGAATATTGTAACTGTATCTGATGGGAAGAATACTCTGGAACCCTGGAAGAAATAGAGTTAGGATCTCCACAGCAACAACTACTCTATGCAAATGAAAATGGAATCTACCTCATTTCCCAATACCCTTTGTGTACTGGATGCCTCGTTTTTCTAGATAAAGTGTATCAATTCTCCATTTTACTTTTACATATAAAAACACTCAATACTTTAAAAAATTGAAGCAGAAGAGACTAACTTTGAAATTTTCTCATGAAAACTGACCTTTTCTTCTTACTCTTTATTGAAAAAGTAAGTAGATAAAGGAGATCTGATAGTAGAAATTAGAAAAGCTAAAAATCCTTTGTACTTTATAGTGCTTCTGCATTGTTTTTGTCAAAATTGTGTTTCAGTAAATGAAAACATGGCCATTCCATCCTACTGAGAACCATGGAAGTATTTACAAATTAAGAGATGCCTTGAAGAATAACCAGGCAACCTCAGAGGCGTGCAAAACAGAAACATATTTCACAATGGAAAAAAGAAAACAACAGGGATACAGATATCTCATGGGCCCAGGAAAAGACATGCAACATGAACAGACAGTTCTCTCTGTTTCTGTCTCTCCAGGGCCTCATACACTCTCTTCTCTGCTTCATGTTGTGCATTGTTTTTATTTCTCTCTTCAGAATGGCTTCCTCTTCTCTTGGATACTGATCAGAGCCTCTGAAAGCTAATTTTAAATTGCCATAAAAGAAGATCTGATGGGTCCAGTTTGAGCCCCAATAGCTGTGGTTATGGGAGAATAGGGTCCTTTGAATTGATGCTCCTCAATGGGGCTCTGGAGGAAGATGGTCAGAAAAAGAATTTCAGGCACAGTTTTTTCTAAAGGGATGATAAGAGTAGGAAGAAAATAATTGTTGGAAAAATAACCGATATTTCTCCTACAGTCCACCTTTTGTTGTTCCAGGTACATGTTTAATTTCCATAGTGTATAGCTATTGCTGAGTAATAAGTGCCCCCAAAACATGCAGCCCAACACAACAATCATTTATTTCTCATGTGTCCATGGGTCATCTGGGGAGTTTTCCTGGGCTCACTCATGCAGCTGCTGTCAGCTGGCAAGTTAAACTGGGGGCTCACAGGTCTAGGATGCCTTTGCAATGGGTTAATCCATCTCCTTCCCATGCAGCCCCTCATCCTTCAGTAGATTACCTGAGCTTATACTTATGCAGGTGGAGGGGCCTAAGAAAGAGAGAGAGAGACAGAGAGAGACAGGGAGAGAGATATTAAAACAACACACAGCCTCCTGAGGCCAAGTTTCAGAACAGGTGAGTTATTGCTTCTGAGCATTCTATTGGCTAAAGTATATCTTCATGGCAGCCTCAATTCCAGGTTGGGGAAATGGACTTCACCTCTTCATGGGAGTGGCTACAAAGTCACATTGCAAAGGGTGCATTTAGAGGGAAGCCATTAATTGGTGTCACCAACACGATTATCTCTAACACTTGCATCTTCTTCTCATTCATTTATCATTTAACCCCAAACTACTCTCCCATTTTTTTTTCTATTTCTTTTTTGGAGAGATCATGCCTTTTTAGATTCTCTTCAGAAAGTTAAAAGTTTCCAGTTATTTATCTATTTTATAATGAAATGTAAATGTTTTTTACATCACTATTTTATAATGATGTGTTCTCAGATACATGTACACCCTAATCTCTTTAGGATGATATTTATTTTAGTTCATTCTACAAAATTTATACTGAGGCTTCATATTTAAAAAAATAGTTTTTATTTTTGTTCATTTATAATCATGGTTAAGAGCAGAGACTTTAGAATTAGACTGCCTGTATTCAAGTCATAACTCAACTTACTATCTGTGTTGCTTTGGGCAAATTACTTCGACTTAAATTCTCTTTGCCTCAGTCTCCCCATCAGTGAGATGGGAATAATCATAACCACCTTACAAAGTTTTATAAGGATTAAGTGATAAAATATTCTCAGCACTAAAAATAGTACCTGTCACATAGTAATTTTTTAGTAACTGCTATTATTATCATGATTGGTATTACGCGTATCGATCAAGAAATGAACAAGAATGCATCCAGATGCAATACTTTGATTAAGTGGATTGACCTTTGGCTTGCCATTTATTTATTAAGCAAAACTTCCACTCAGATATACAGCTGAAGAACTAGGTGGTGTGTGGAAACCCCAGCCTCTTAATGAACAATGGCAGTTCACCTTGGGCTGTGTCTTCGTTTGAGCTTTGTTTGTGGGTCTCCACTGCCAAGGATGCAGCATTTTTCATCTCTATCTCGTGTCTCTCTTGTTCTTTGCCTTCTACGCAGACAGCTTTGGGTCTTTCAGTTGCTAGAACACACAGGATGAAGGGGTCAAGGAAGGAGGAAGGGAGAAGATCATCACCTACACAGCTTCTTGGTGAGAATCAGATCCTGCTTCTTAGCCTAATCCTGGGAAAGTACAGATGAGGTCTGCTAGCTTTCTACCAACTCTCACTCTGTCAGGGCTGCCCTGTGTCACGAGATGGCATACACACAGGGCACCAATTGGTTAATACACTCTGCTCTGTCTGACTTCCAATTATTGAAAATTCCTTCCAGATTCAGGCCTTAGGTTGTCTGTCAATCTTAGTTTATAAGGTCATAAATTTACATCTTTTCTGCCTTTACATAGTTCTTTGAGTGGGAGTTTGGGACAGGCTTTGTCTGCGGCTTCTAGACAGAGGCCATTTTTAAACCAGAAACTTTGTTCACCTAATTGTCAAGTTTATTTGGCTCTTGTTTTTATTCAACCTAAAAATTTGGATGTGAACATTATCCAGGAATAACTCCTCCTTAAGTAAATATAGTATGTTATTGAATAAGAAGCACACAGAATTTTAAACTAAGAATTCTAAGGTTTCCAGAAAACAGGTTACCCTCTCATGGAGTTTTCTTTTGGGGGTAAGTGACTTGTGACCCCCAAATGAAAACAAACTCTAAGATGTCAGTGGTGATAGTTGGGTATTATTTTTGTTTAAGAATTTTAAATATTGTAGGCATAAGACTCTTGTAGCACAAGTAATATTAAATATTTGCACGTCTTTGGATTATAGGGTTGTTTTTTTTCTTTCTTTTTTTTAAGAGGTAGGGGTTGATTCAAACAAGAGATGGAAAAATATATCTTCCTGGCTGAAAAGTAAAATTATAAAATGGATATTTTGAATTTGTGCAGTTTTTAGTTTCTAAACCTGTCACTTACTAATCAGGCGATCATTTTTATGTGTGGCTGGCTGTTAATTATGAAATAATTGTATTTTATGAAATTTTGATTTTTTTCAAAATGTTATTCAACATGTTTCTTTGGAGTGCTGTTTATGCTGACCCTGTACTAATCAAACTACCCAGGAAGAGGTGACTGTATAGGGGAAAAAACCACATTTGTGAAAAATGTCCAGAAGTTGTTTAACCCTAAAGCATCTATTCCAGAGTTAATTCTGACATTTGCACTTACATGAATAATACTCTGTGGATTCCTGCCTATTGAGCTATTTGGTGGTTCTGGTTACCAGTATTTCTCAAGTTGCAAATTGATAAACTTGAGAAAATAGATTTATTGAGGGGTATATATTAGTCATTTTTGACTCTAAGGCAAGTATTCTTCAAAATTATCAAGGCCACAAAAACAAGGAAAGTATGAGAGACTGTCATAGCTCAAAGAAGCTTAATGACTCCCTTAATGACTCAGTGTAATACTGTATCCTAAATGAGATCCTGAATTAGAAAAAGGACATGAGGTACAGATTAAGAAAATGTCAATAAAGCATGAAAAAAAGAGAAATTTGTCTATTTCCATGTAGACAAACAAATGGTGATGGATTAATGAATCTAATCAAATTTGGACAGTAACAGGTATATTTTAAAAAATAAATCAAATTAAAATTAGCTGAAATAAATACCATCACCACCAACAATAACACAACTACCAACATTGAAAGTAGACTGATTGCAAAATAAATTCCAACTTTTAATGACTTGGTTCAATATTAATAGTATTAGAAAGACTCAATATTAGAAAGACTCTTGACATATGTAGGTTGATAGAACTTGATCTCTGAAATGGAATTGGATAGAATCTATCAGACTTATTTATAAAAGGGCATAATTGTATATGTTTACTGGTAATGAAAATGATTTAAACAGTTTTGAAGTTTGGAAAAGTCCATTAATTTATTTACTCATTCGATTAATATTTCCTTTGTGAGTGCCATGCTCATTAGACTACATGTATGAGTATTTTTAGTCTGAACCCCATTAGGTGGGGTTAATTTGCCAATATGCCTTCTTGCTTCTTCAGAAAAAAATTGTTAATCCATTTTTGTGTACCTTTACAATTCCTGTTCTTCTCAAATAGAATTGTCTTTATCTCTCCTGTTTGTAATAATTGCATTTAAGGTTTGTTTCCTATATGAGCTTTCCCGCTCATTAATTTTCTTTCCTACATTTCTACTTAATTTCTCTGCTAGTATTCATCACATTTTCTGGCAGTTATCCTTATTTCCATATCTGTGAAAGTTTTCTAGATCATATTTTGCCATGGATTTTTTTTCTTGTTTTTGGACACAGTAGCCACATTTTCTGAGCCAAAAAAAAATAAAAAATGCATTTACATAGTTTGGCAACCATAAGTATATTTCTGGGAACAATAAGAAAGATATCTGGAGTTGGAATGTGTTGCGAAATCTATACTATGTGTTCACCATAATTATAGGGTTTGGTCAAAGAGACCAAAGAGACCAACTGACCAACAGTTGTCAGTAAATATGTAAAACCATCATATTATTTCCATTAGTTACTGCTTGGAATATGGTGACTGAGGCTGTAACTCTTGGAAGAAATAATTTTTAATATGGATTTAATCTTAAAATAAAAAGTAAAAATTTATGAATAATTTTCAAACTATAGAAATGCTTCAAACTTTTGTCCTTCCTTTCTTTATTCTTCTAATCAAATAGTTATTGAACCCTTACCCTGTTCTATGCAATTTGCTAGATAGTGGAGATTTGATGATGTAAAAAACAGATATCATTCCTTCCCTAAAGAAGGCACTAACTTACCCTGTGTTGTTAAAACCTCTGGTCCTGAATTTCTTTTTTGGACAAATGGAAGAAAAATAATCTCTGAATTCCATACTTATTATGAAATTATAAGTCTAAGTATATATATTTTTAAGATGATTTATTGGAAGTGAGAAAGTTAAATTGTAGAAGTCAATTTTGGGTACTTAATGATTTACATCAGAAATAGCACAGATGGTATAGAATAGATGTAATTCTGACAGATTTAAAATTGTATCTAAACACACAACACACACACGTCAATAATGTGATAAAACAGAGGGAAATGCTGAATAGAATGTCGTTTGGCTAACAGACAAGGTCAGTCATTGCTTGTTCCCGGCTCCTCTAGAAATAGCAATCACTCTCCATTCTCCTTGCACTTTTAAAGATGATTTGAAATCAAAGATTGACAAAATTTGCAGCTAGCTTTTTTATCTCTTCCTTCTTTCCTTCCCCTTCAACTTTTTTATTCTACCCCAAACAAGTAATTTTTCTCCAATTCTTTTCTTCTAATCATTGTTATCTAAACAGTGGTACTGGAACTAGTATTTCTTAGATAATGTTAATGACTTTCTTTGCTTTACTCCTTTCTCTCTACAAGTTCCAGAAATCATTAGTTACATGGAAGAAGAGTTGAACACCATCCTTATGGAGAAAGTGACTCCAAGGTCTTGGCTCAACCAAATGCTGTCTACATGTAGAATTTCTGACCAGGCTACAAATCAAAGTATAAGAATATTAACATACATATTCAGAGACATGTACAATTCAACATAAAATTAAAAATGCAACTCAATCTGACTGGTAGAGAATAACAATTTTTATACAAACACATGTGTGCCCCCCAACACGCACACAAATCAAAAACCTGCTGTGACTCCTACTTTGGGGCCTTAGGATCTGTCACTTGCTTCACTATTTATTATTAGATCTTTAAATCTAAGACGTGGGAGAATGTCATTTTTGTGGTCAATGACTGTGTGAAATTAAGGTTCTATAAATTACAAAACAGGGGCCATATACAGTAGGACAACAGAATAACTATTTTGTGCCATTTTGATCCAAAAAAAAAAAAAAAGGAATACCTCTTTTGGCAAATAGTAAGGGAAAAAATGCAGTTCTGATGTGGACCATAACATTCCAGATGTATTATACTACAGAAAAGCAATACTAGTCAGATAAATGAGTATAATGATTTTCTTTGAGTCACTCATTTTTTCCATTTGCATTTGTGGGATGGGGATGGTTCCATCTGATATAAATTAGACTTTTCTCTCCATGCCTCTTATATAGGCACGGGGAAGAGGACATTTATTTCACTTTCATGAGGACCAAACTTTAAGTAAGTAAAGTATATATCATAAAATAAACAATGACTTAGTTGATTAGTGAGGTGGTCTTTTCTAGTCCTGTGCCAATGTATGTTCAGAATAATAAATCCCATGTAACATAATGCATCACCAGCTATATTCCATAGCGATAAAACCAAGCCTTTGTAACTTAGAAAGATGGTGTGAGAGAGTGTTTGTCTGTTATCATATTTTATCACCAACCTTTTAATCTCTACTAGAGTTGATGACATGAGGAGCATAGTTAACTGGAATGTACAGATTATCAATGGATTTCATTGACATTCATGATTTTAATCTGGTCCCCGTCAAGCATAAATCGAAGTTCTTAATTAGGAGCCAAATTGGCCAATTTACAGTTATTTTTCTTTCTTCCTAATTTTTGTTCTCTAGAATAAAAACGATCAATGATTAAGCAAAAGGTCAAACAGAAATATAAAGTAAGGGCTTAGATATTTCAGAAACTATATTTTAAGATCTTGAATTAGTTCAAAAACAAAACAATAAATTCGCTTTCTACTTTTTCGGAGAATACTAAATTTCTTATAAACACAAGCCCTCTTAAAATTGAAACAAGAAAAATCAAAGATAAAAATCAATAAGGGTTAGCTCTAATTTCCCAGAAATTAATTCTTATTATTTTTCATCTTAGAAATTCATGCTGTATTAGATACTTTAAATTTAGGTTAAATACATTTTTGTAATTTCCCACATAATTGGTTCCAAATAATTCCAAAGTACAGGTCCAAGTATAGGTCCAAAGTAGGTAATTGTTTTCCTTGATTCCCTTTCAGGTTTTCCAATGGTTAATTTTAATTTTTTTAATTCTTAATGATTAATTTAACAATTGGTCATACTTTTTGTTCTTATTTATTCTATGTTTTTTGCTTTTAATGCCCCTTTCTTAAATGCCTCAGCTGAGAACTGCATCCTATTGACATCAATGTAACTCTTATGACTGCAGGCTGGTTTTCCAACCCATTAAGGCCCTCCACAAGTCAAGTGTTCGACTGCTGGAAATGAAGAAGTAGAGCTTTGGTTTACATATGTTGACATGAACAACTCAGTTGCACCCGTTGTGAGAGTAACGGCTCAGCTCATGATGAGTGAACAGGTCATCCAACAAGCAATAGAAAATACAGAAATGGACCTTCTTTGGGAGCAGGGTAGCAAGGTGCTGACAGCTTAATGAATGATTTGTCTGTTATGACAGTAGGACACCTTGCAATGCCAAGAGCAAATATTTGAAAGAATATGCAATGCAGGAAATGTATGTATGTTCTATATATAGGACACTTAGATTGCCTGTATCACTAACAGATGGACAGAGTTTGAGAAATCTTATTTTATAATGTGCAACATCACTCCTGTCAGATACACTTTGAAATTTGGGGATTAATGGAGCATGACACTCAGAGTAAAATGGGAATTCCATTGTATGTACTGAGAGATTGGGGGCTTTACGGGTAGAGACGCTCAGCAAAGACTATTGCATGTATTCTTTACAGGTGTAATTCTGATTTCACTTATAATTTAATAACAAACAGCTCCAGGCCTGTGTCAGATGGAATAAGTAACTAGATAATTTTGCGAGATGCTTTTGGATAAAATCAAATAGTAAAACTAGGGTTGAAAAGCCAAGTGATCAGATGAATAAGAAGTTTACTTTTCCTCTCTGAACTGAGAGATCACCTACATCAGTGTTGAAGAGCAATAAGATGGGTTAGCTTGAAAAAAATATATATTATTTATAAAGGAACTCACTTTGGAGTTTTGACTCAATAATTTTAATTAAATAATCTTAGATGACTGACTGATAGATGGTTAACAAATAGATTCTGACACTCTCATCCACTCTTGTATGCACTCTTATAAATACATTTGTTACTTGTAACAAATAAGCATGTAGACAAAGAATTAGACACGCCAATAATTATAGATTGATGACCATTTTACAGTCTCATGGGTCAAAATTGTATGTACTGTAGACTAGAGATTATTTCCTATTAAAGAAGCAAAGAAGGGGGTGGGTGACTTATAAGTATTGTGGGAAACCCCAAGATATCCATACTACTAAAATTTCACTAAAGCTATCTCATTAGCCAGATTATACCATAAAGAAGTCTCCCTTCTTCTCATCACTGCATGCATGCCCATTCGTCATTCATCAGTTTTTACTGGCAGATGGCTAGGAACCAGGTGCTCTGCTGCCTGTCCCGGTGAATGGCACGCTGCCTTCAGAAATGCTCTGTGTCAAAACCCTAAGAGTAAAAGTCTACAGATTACTGTTCTTAGCTTTCCCTCCATTCTCTGGCAACTCTCCCAACAACATGGGCTTCTGAGAGCTTTGCTGTGGAGGCATTCCTTCCAGCCACATAACAATTCTATAGAAAGAAAGAAGGGTCCCAGCCAGTAAGAACTCATAAGAAGCTGGCAAAATACAGGCTTCCCACAGCTGTTAGGTATGCTTTCTCTGTGCAGCCAGGTCTCGACATCTGGTGCAAACTACTTGACTGAGACAAGAGAAAGAGATCTGGTTTTCAAATCATCAGGGCACCAACACTTGGCCTCATAAATTGATCCAGTTAGATAAGGGAATCTCAACACCAATGAAACACACGATGACATGTTGCAAAATAATAGGTACTATTGCTTAGGCTAAGTGGCCTCCTAAATGTTTATTTTCAAGTCAATTTTTTAAAATATATGCCTTAAGTAAACTGTTTATAAAACTGAGCACATAATTAAGCATAAAAAGAAATTTATGTGTAAAATTTGGTCCCGCCTTTTTTTACTGTGATCTTCATCTTTCTGCAAGAAACAGCTCTGCCACTGCACTATCTCAGAGCTCCCACACTGGAGCCATCCCAGACCCTTACACTCTCCCTGGTGGTTTACCTGATCAGTTAAATAACATTGTCCACTGCATATGAATATGGCTTCTCAAGTGCATTCCTTCATTTCCACTCTCTCTGCTTTTATTCCAGGTCAGGTCTTCATAATTAGTGACTGAATCTATATTATATATTGTATCTGTATTTAAGCATTCTTAAAAGCCATAGTTAAATATGGTAAAAGTCTATTTGTTTAAATAAGCTGAATGAAGACATCAGCCATATAGCTACATATATAAATACTATGGTAAGTGACAGTTTGGGATGTGGATCTCCCATGATGGAAGAGTTTGCCGGCTCTCAAAATATGGCAACAGCTCGGAGCTGGAACAGAGGTATAATGTCAGAGACAGTGGGTACCCCACAGTGTCCCATATAAAGCAGTTGTAAATTACTCTTTATTTTGTGCTTTCCTTGGTTTGAGCACAAACAAAAAAAATTAAAAATATATGAACACAAATGACAAGCAATATATTTTATAACACGGCAGGAAAAGAGCTAATTTTCTTAATATTAAAAAAACCTCATACGAATCAATTTTTTAGAAAAGAAACCATATGGCAGAAATATAGTCAAGGGATAGGAAGAGATAGCTCCCACAAATTTAAAGATAAACTGAATTTGAACATGAAAATGTCAAAAATTAAAACTATAAAATTCTATTTTTATATAAATTAATTTAGTAAGGATCAAAAAGTATACTATTAGAGCAAATGTGAAGAACTACACTCACATATTTGGAGGGATTGTAAACCTTTATGAAGTATAATGTGTCAAAAGTTATAAAATTTTAAATGGGACTTATTTTGATAAGGAATACCACTTGGTTATAGAATAGATGTACATGGAAACTTATATACACAAGTGTCTATGCATTATTGCTTATGTGTTCAGAAGACTAAGAAACAACTTGAATATACAGCAATAGAGGATTTGTAGGTAAATAATGGTAAGTCCATTAAATGGAATACTATGGAGAGACAGCTGTCAAAATGAAAGAAGAGGTCCTGCACATACCAAGGTGGACTGACTTCCAAGATAAAGTGAAAAATGCAAAAATACAGAAGAGTGTGTATAAAATTCAAGTTGTGTAAAAAAAAAGAAGCCATATCAATTTTGGCATATGCCCATGTTTTCTATGGAAGTTTATAATAAAAACTTGATAATAGTGACTGTATCTGGGTTGTGGAAGAGGGAGGCCAGAAGTCATTGGTAGGAAGAAAATACAGCTTTCATTAAACACTTATGTGTTCTCATTAAATTTTTCACTTTTGCACATATTACCCTTTCAAAAATTAAAATATATATGTACAATGTAGGTATATATTTATTTATATATTTTATGTATTAGATAGCATATGTTTGTTATATTACATATGATTATATACATTAAATAAAATATGTATAAAATAAAAAAAAACAAACTCCCAGCTTGTTTTACGGTGGTATTTGGAGATATAACAAAGTGCCTGGGAATAATGTGATACAAAGAAGAAAATCAGAAGCCTTCGGAAAGATTTTCCAGCTGCAGCAGCTCCTGAGAGAACAGTATCTAGTGGTCAGGACAGAGACCAGAAATTCACAGCCATGTGGTGGTTGAGATGGCAAGTGATAACCAGTTGAGTTTAAGAATATGGTATCTTTATTTAAGCATTCTTAGAAACCCTAGTTGGAGAAAAGCTTGGTAAAAGTCTGTTTATATTTTGCATTTAAGCTAGATGAAGACAAATCACTGTTTACATTTAATGTGTACATGCCCCATTTTGTAGACTATGCTGGAAACAGGTATGCTTCTAAAACCAGGAGGGACAGGCAAGCTAAAATGAGGCCTGCTCAACAGAGAAGGCCATCCAAGAATTTGGAGGGAATAGGGCCGATGTGTTCTAGATAATAAGTTGCATATTGCAATGCAGTATATCTAAAGTTATGGTACCATCTGTGCTTGTGTCCCTTTTGTATGTTAAATTCTGTTTAATGATGTGACCGCATTGTTTTTCAACATCCTAAATATCTTTACTTTTTCTGTAAGGGTCTATGGTTCATAAATGTCTTTGTCTGCCAAAATGACCATTTCAAAACTCTCATTTCTATAGCACTAAGTATTAGGAAAAATGTGGAGAACGTGTGCTGATTTACAACTCACTTAGAATCAACTCATCTAAGGATTAGGAAGAAAGGCATCTGATAAAAAGAGTTACAACAAGATCTTGATGAGTGAGACTGGGCAATTCCCCGTTCTCCCACATCTAGCTGGTGGAAAATTTACATCTAAAAGCAAATTAGTCTCTAATTAATAGAAACTTAAGGTAGAGGGAATAATTTGTTTTCTGGGCAAGAGGGGAATTTCTGCACTTGTTATATTCAGCCTCTTGTTTCTAATAACCCTGATGATAAAGAGATAAAAGAGGTCTTCTTTCTTTGTTTTTATTTTTTGTTATTGATTTTGATTTTTTCCTTCCTTTCTTCCCTCCAGCTCTTTTCCTATTCACAAAGAGAACTTGGTCACTAATCTATTTCTCTTATTCTGTTAGTTGCCTACTTTGATCTGGTGAGCAATATCATATTGCTTCATTATAAAACAGGACCAAACAACTGCAAAAAGAGAAGGGCCAACCTCCATAGATACCACCATCTATTCAGGATGGCTATGTACACCAGTTGGCTGGCAGGAGCCAGTTAAGCAAGTTGCCCTATAACGAGAACACGGATGCCTAACTTTTCAGGGTCATCTACTCTCCCAACCTTAAATCCTGAATTATTATTGCAGAAAGCTATTTGTTCCTCCCTTTTTTCAGAATTCTGCTCCAATTTCTGTAGTTTCAAAGTTAGTTTGGGCCAAAGGAAGATGACAATTCGAACCTCCATAGCATGTGGGTATTGAGACAGACAACCTTCATGGCTACTACCATAAGTGATGAACCCAATGTGCTCTGTCTTTGGTTATTTCTGCTCTTCTGTAGTTGTTTCCTTATTTGCATTTGTATAATTCCTCACATCAGGCTCCCTTATATCTCACCCATCCACCTTATTACAGCTTCTAACCATTGTACTGCACCCTTGGAAACTCCATTCCATCAACCGCAATTGCTCAGCATCTTCAAGCTTTTGGAGAAACAGTGGCCCAATTTTTTACTCAAATAGAAGCCTGGCAACATTGTTCCTTGTGTGGAAGCTGCTCATTCTTTCAGGCCTCACATGGTGGGACTGGGAAGCTCTATGGCAAATGTTCCAGCCCTTGCTACCTTCATGAGTGCCCACCTGTATTTCTGCAATTACCCCTCCCTTCGGTCCTCCATACCAACCCCACCCACCTTCACCACTTTCCTTCTCTCACTAGGTGTCTTGCCATTTGTTCGTTAACCTCTTCAGGTTCCTGCTCAGCTACCTACAAATGAACTGCATCTGAACCCCTTTTGCTCCATCTTGTAAAAAGTGAGTTTTCTTCTGCAACATTAGACTGTAACATTCATCCACCTTTGCTTCGCATCCCATTTCCTTGTGAATTAAGAGAAAACCTCAGAACCCAGTTCCTTGAGTACAGCATCTCATTCCTGCACAATTTCTCTTCTTTGTTGGCACCTTTGCTTCTCTTAGCTTAAAAACAAAAACAAAACACGGGGGGAGGGGGGAGAACAGAACCTACCAAGCTCTTCTCCTCAACTCTGTTAACCCTTCAGTCTTCCATTGAGCTAAACATCTAGCATCTCCCTGGATTCTTCTGTGGCCCAAACCAACAATTATTTATTCATTCTGTAAACCAGTGCTTTTTGAACTTATAAAGTGCTTATGATTCAACTGAGGATATTGCTTGAAAGCAGATTCTAATTCGGTAGTCTAAAGTGTAGCCAAAGTTTTTTGCATCTCTAAGCTCCCAGGTGCTGCTGCTACTATTATTCTACATACAACCCTTGTAGTGGGTGGAAAAAACCGATGCTTTCAAAATACTCTGGGAGATTACAAGAGCAATTTTTGAAAGAACAACGCACGCATATTTTCATCTCTTGTATCCAATTACTTTGAGAAGACATCTAATCCTAAATTGATAATGTAATCAACGTAAGTTTACTGATCACTAACTAGGCACTGTATTATTTCATTGATTTTTACAGTACTCTTAAGAGTATTAAAAAGGAAAATGAGGTTTTAAAAGGTTAAATAACTTGGTGGTGAGTCAAACTGACAAAAAAGAAAAAATGGTTTGTATAACCATCATTGCGGTAATAAGAATCCATGTCTCTTAAAATATTTTGAATTTATATTCCAATTCCCCTTTTATCTATTACCTTACTTTTCTATCCCATATTATCCCCCTTTAAGTAACGTAACTTGTCATTAAACAGTTACTCTTTTGTCTTAAGAGAGAACAAATTTTTTCAGTTCCTCTGAACAATGGGAATACAGGGAACAAAGCATTAAACTAGACAATATGCTAATAAATTAAAATATAATTAGGTTCTGAGGTCAGACTAGTTAGGTTTGAATCATGGCTTTACTTCCTAATGTGTGACCAAATTACTTACCCTCTCTGTGCCTCAATTTTCTTGTAAAAGGTGGGACAATAATAAAACCTTCTCATAACTTGTGATGAAATGAAGTAAAACCTCTAAAAAATTCATCAGATTATCTAACACATGGCAAATGATTAATGCATTGTGTAAATATTACTATTACTATTATTATCATTAAGCCTTTTAAAAATTCAGCTCCTGGGATACTGACTGTGATTACTGAAAAATAAGGTTCAGCCAAATGATCCATCATTTTGGTTTGTTAGTTTTGTCCGCAGACTGAGTCTGCAGAAATCCCTTGGTACTTGAAATTCAACAGACCAGTTTCTCCCCCACATCTAATCCTCTCCAAGAAGATAGAGCAGTTAATGAATTAGCTTGATCTATCTCCTTAAGCTTTACTGTCATCAGCAAATTACCCTAAAGAATATTATAAATGGACATTACAAATTAGAAATCATGTCCTTAAATTACTTCCTTCCTCCCTCCATTCTCTTATTTCAAAACCTTGCGAATCTACCACCAATCAACTTAGCTCTCTGTCAGACAAAATCTAATCAGGCGTTTCTTATTTAGAATTGTGTACGAAAGCTCTGTAGT